CGCGGGGGCCCGGCTTCTTTTATCCCAGGGCGCCCGGGTCCCCGCTGCAGGGTGCGCCGACGGTCGAGTCCCGAAGCGTCAGTCGCCGAGTGTTTTCTAGTTCGGCAAGGGACAGAGACGGAGGGGATGAGCCACAAGAACAGGGCAGCCCTAAATCGTCGCAGGACTCCTTTAGGTCGACGGAGACAAGCAGGGCTTGGAGAAGGTCGCTGTCGCCCTTAGAAAGGCTGAGCCGGATGATTCCCGAGGAGCTCCTTTCTGCGGAGATCAGATCCCTGAGAAGCGCGCAAGAGAAGGAATCCAAGCCGCAGGAACACGAAACCGGCGCCGCAGAAGAGGGGGTCTTTCCTGGGTCAGATTCCCAGCTGGATCGAGGCTCGCTGTCCGAGAAAATCCAGAATGCGCCCTCCAGAAACCGTCCCTTCCGAGTTGGGGAGCTGATCCTAGTAGAGGCTCGCCGAAAACACGGCTCGGCATTCAAGACCCAATTCCTGCTCACCGATACCGGAATGTGTAATACTCATTTGGGTTTCATTAGATTCTCTGCAATCGTAGGCAGACTCCCCGGGCAGCTGTTCCAAACGTCCCGGGGTAAAATCTTGCTAATTAGGAGGCCGTCCTTAGAAGAATACGTGCTGTTGATGGATCGAAAACCTGCCGTCATCAGTCCGAAGGTAAATATTGATGTTCAGCAGGCCCCAACCCGGGTCCTGGGGACTACCAAATATGTTACAGTTCCCATTGTTTCAACTGGCTCCATTGAGATCTTGTGGAGCCATTCTGAGAACAGTATTGGGGATATAGGCCTTGGTTTTTTGGGACCCAACAAGACTTTTTTTTCCTGACTCTGTTTTAATTATACCCAATGTATATATTTCCTATTTCTTTTCTTAGCTAGGGATTTAAAGGACATCAGACTTCCCCATTTTTTTTTTTAGCCCACCTCCTGTATGATGCCCCTTGTATCCCAATGATCCTTTCATTTCAATAATGGAGTGTTTCTCAACCTCAGCAACTTTAGGATGTGTGGACTTCAACTCCCAGAATTCCCCAGCCAGCATGAGAAACACACCAATAGTGAGTTTAAAGCTGAGAGAAGATAACAGATGCATGGCAACCTTACTGCTTCATCTTATTATTTAGGCCATCCTTCCCCAACTTGGACATTGCTGAGAATTTGCAGAGTTGGTTGATATATTTGGAAGGTGCCTGGGCTTCAACCCGAGCTTGCAGTGGGGCCCACAGATTCTAGCTGGACTTACTTCTGCGGTTACCCACATAGGATTATACTCCTGATCTCTTTGCAAGAGTTGTGTGTGAACAGCTGCCCCAGCTGCTGCTGCCCAGTTATGCTGAAGATTAATCTGATCTGCATTGAAGCTGGACAGACTAAAGAAAAATCCCCCCTCGATACTGTTTGAACAGTAGCTTTAAAACGACTGTCATCTTTGTTCTTTTAACCTATAGGATGCCAATACAATGCTGCTGCTAATGGATATCACTCCAGGGGACACAGTATTGGAAGCTGGTTCTGGTTCTGGCAGTATGAGTTTATTTCTATCAAAAGCAGGTAAAATGTGAAATTTTTTTTCCGTTATTGGTGTCAGCTGACAGTGTTCCCGCCTTTTTCTGTTTCTTTATATTAGATCAGACTGTTTGTCATCTTAGACTTATACCGACTGCTCAGCTTTTACTGATTTTCAGGCAGAAAACTGTATTTCCTGCTACCTTATCTTTTTAATAGGAGAAAGCAGGGTTAACACCAGGATCTCCCAGCACAAATCATAATCCATTCTTCGTGTGGTTATCATGCCCCAAATTATTCTTAAATATAATATGGGTTTTTGGGTTTTATCTTACCTATTTTGATTTATAATCCATGGTTTTAATATATTGTCTGAACATGCCATTGTAGTGCTATCTGAAATGAATAGAAAATAAAGTATGACACACCTTTTGGTGGTAACGACAAATGGGAGATGAAATATGAGAATCAAGATGCTTTTCAGACATCCTGTCATGCAATTATTGTGTCCTATTCATAGGATTTTTCGATGGTGTTTCCTTCTGAAACTTTCCCATGTTTTCCTATTATTTCTTCCTCATGTTTTTTTCTTACCAGTCCTACAGTTCAGTGAAATAAAGCAGCCACTTAAGGGCTAAAGCGGGGTGGGGGACAATTTGGAGGATAATCACCTGTTGCCGACATCCCTGGAGAGACTTGCCATCCTACAGATATTATTCCGATGGGTCATTTTACTATATATTGCCATGAGGACCCCTCAAATCAATGGCTATGGGTCACCTGGGTAGCAGCTAACCAAGGTGAATGGCAGGACTGCTAAAATTAGGGAAGCGGGGTATGGGAGGGAGTAGAGTTAGGAATGATAGCAGCAGGATGAAGAGTTGTGGGCTAGCTTTAGTGGCAGATCTTGGGCCTTCCCTGCAGGAGGCTATTTTATTACTTTCTATGTCATTTATGAAACCATTTGTATAAAAAAAATAATTCAATTCATTTACAGTGGGGCAAAAAAGTATTTAGTTAGCCACCAATTGTGCAAGTTCTCCCACGTAAAAAGATGAGAGAGGCCTGTAATTTTCATCA